TTGTAGCTTTGTTGGAATAAGTAATTATTTAACATTTAATCATTGGGAAACTGGAAACCAACCACTAGAAATTACATTTACGTACAAAATGTAATGCTGCCTGGATACATTTTTTTCAAAAAAAAAAAAAAAACTTTTGTTGTTTTTTTTTTTATTCCACAACCTACTTCTTTGTCATAACCTGAAACCTACATAACCCACGATGTTCAATTAATCAACTGCCGACGGTTTGGTTGGAGATTTGGGTGTGTTATGCTAGTAGCAGCTAATGTAGCCTAGAGGCACTCGCCTCCAGCAGGGATTAGGAGCATGCTACAGAGGTCTGGTAAACTCACTTCTTTCACTTTCAAACCTTCAGACCGAATCGATGATGTCTCAAGTGACATCACTTGAGTAAATGTATCAGATCCTCATTTATTCCATGCATTCCTCTTCCTTGACAATCCCTGTGTTGATGTGTTAGCTACTAGCAGCTAATGTAGCATCTTAGCCCCAAGCAGAGATGAGGAGCAGGCTACAGAGATCTGGTAAGCTAGCCTCTTTTTAACTCCACACACAGATTGTTTACATGTTTAATGTTTGTGGTCTTCAGCCCTATTGACGAATCAGACAGCTCCTCTCTCTGGAGCCATAAAAGGCTTAATACAACTTTTTCACATGTGCAGTAGTACTCCCTAACGCCTGTAAACAGATGTGGATGTGTACAACCGGTGGAATTCTCTTTTAAAAGACCAAATGCAAAGCTCACTTACAAGCAAGTGACATAGACAACTATGTACAGCATACAAAATGAAGAGATGCAAACAGATGCAAATTTGCTCCGGCCAGCACAAATTATGGCAAAGACGAATCTGTGCAAGTTATAAATGTTTCAACATTAACTTAAAAAAGAAATCCTTTTAGTAACTGTACCAAAACTCTATGTCAGATTTATTTATCGGTGTTGTATTGAAACACAGTATTGAAACAACAGAATTGAAACAGTTCAGATGATACCCAACCCCAAGAGAGAGGGAAAAAGTGACATACAATACCTTCTTTTAGGCCCATAATCCACATGGTGTCCAGAGAATCAATGAGCGTCAAACCCAGTCCAAACCACTCTCCAAAAGACTTGGAGATGGGCTTGAGCTCATCGTGACCCCAGGCATAGTCCTTATACCCTTTCCACGCATGCCTGAAGGCATCACGTACTGCCTCCAGTCGGTCCACAGTTCCAGTTGACACTACAAACAAAGGCCCACAGAGGAATGAATAAGAAATGAAGCGTAATCTTAAAAGTCTATGTTTCCTCTAGGAAGGTCTCTCAACAGTGAATGTCTCATTTTCTGATTATTTTCAGTAGAGGGAATATACTGTGCCATGTGTGGATAGTGCTGCTTTGAGCACAGCAGGGTTTTTATCCTGCAAGTTAGAAATGTTCAAACTTTAAGTTAAAAAAAAAAAAGGCACTGGGCTTTAAACAGCATATACCAGCAGAGCTGGACAACGCAACATTAAAGAATCTGTTTGAGGGGAAAAGTTTCTCAATGGACAGAAAAACTAACTAAAACTTTTCTGTTTCTAAAAGAACCAAAAATATGGGAGAAAAGGATCTCAATGATACAGGAAAACAATAAAGAGTTGAAACAATTAAGATGGTTTCATCTTAAAGTGAAAATGTTTGGGTTTGGACTGTTTGGACAAAAAAAGAGGTGAAGTCATGAGCTTGGACTGTGAGAACTTGTGATGGACAATTTTGAGTTATCCTCCATTTTACAGACTAAACGATTTGTGGATTATTCGGAAAAACAAACCAGGCCTTAAAGCTCAAAGCTCTTGGTAAGAATTCCAGATAATTTCCAAAATGTTCAGTACTGACCTTCAAGTGGAACAGTGTTAGCGGGGTTGGCTGGGACTGGGGGCGCTGCAGCTTCTTTCTCATCAGCCGAGGGTGGGGGCTCTGTGGCCTGGTCAGCTTCAATCATTGCTCCTCTCCAGCTGCATGAATTATGTCTGAATTATTAATATATGTACTGCAACAAGTGCTTCAGGGCCTGGGTTCAGCTGGAAAATGTTTGTTTCTGATCCTCTCTGAGCCATATCATGTTAACATGTCATCTACTTTTCTCAACAGTTCCAACAAACAAATCACCTGACAATTTTCTTTTCTTTGTCCTCCTCTTCACCCTCGCCATCTTGAACCACATCTTGCTCTTGCTTTTCCCCACCAGCTATGTCTGAAATGTTTCCATCTTTCTGCAGGTTTGGTGGACCTCTCTTATTTGGGATTTGGGTCTTTTTCTGTGGATAAAAACAGCTAGAGCTAGAAATAGGAGGGACAACATGAACACCTCATCGAAACACCGATAAGTATCTAAATATATAGCGCACAAAAACTATTGGTATCAAGAGTGATCTTTTACAACCAGCTGGCTGGTACAACTGGCACCAAGTTCATTCATTATTTTAGTGCTACAGCTATACAAAATCATAATACAGACCAATTGCCCTGAAGAAGTGTAACAAGTTCAGCAGTTGTTATTTTTATTTTTTTAAACTTTAGTTGTGTTGATAGACCTGTGCAGGTACTGTAGGACCGTTTCAACATTCTGGTTATTGCAGATGAAACTGAGACAATGGCCAACTCAAGCATATTTTACTTCTTGACTGATGTTGACAGATCCCTGAAATAAATAAATACAAATACAACTCTAACCTTAGTGGGTGGTTTAGCCAAAATGAGGATGTTTGGTTCTCTGGGCTCCACCACAGAATCTGGAGCAGCATCTGGACCCACATCTGGCCTCAAAGCTGGACCTAAAGCTGGCTCAACGTGTGGCCCTGCCACAGGAGCTGGAGCTTTACCTGCAGCTTGACCCAATACAGACTTAACATCTGGAAGAATTGTTTTCACCTCTCTGTCATTCAGCTCCAGCCAGTCCTCCCTGTCAGACAACCCTACAAACACACACACACACACACACACACACACACACACACACACACAATGAACAAAAAAATAAGCCAAGAGTAAGTCAACACAATGCCAGATAACTGTTATATAGCTATAGCATATATAATATTATATAATATTATTCAAAAGCCATCTGACGAAATACATTACACATCATTATAATAGACTCTTCACAGAGATGGCCACAGGAAGTTCTGAACTTTCAAAGACTGAGCAGGCATACAGCATATCATCCTTTTCCAAAAGCTCTGTTTTCCCAGAGTTTTCACATGTATCTACTCTGGAGAGGGACTTTTCAGAAAGCTGCGTTTTTAGGTGTGAAAAATGTGTGTGGACGGAAAGGCCAAACTGAGGGAAATAGAGGCATTTTCAGATTTATCCATCGTAGCGTGAACGTGGTGTGAAAATCAATTACAGTACCTGTAGAAGTATACAACAGTTAAATCAAGCAGGTGTGCACAAACACACAAGGGCACAAAAGCTAATCTAAACAAAGACAGAAACAATCACAATGTCTCAGGCAGTGTCTTAGTAATTTTACAGCCATTTATCATCACCACCAACTCAACACACAGGCAATCCAACTCATCAGCTTCAACTAGTCATGCAGCAACAGAATTAGAATTAATGTTTCTGCCTGTGTGTGTGTGTGTGTGTGTGTGAGCTTAGTGTTTTTCAAGCATTATTTACCTCTCCACTGCTCTGTGATACTGGGATAGGAGAGCAGTCCAAATATGAGCAGCAGAGCCAGCAGGAACAGGATGAGGCTTCGCTGGAGCCGAGACAGCTGCTTCCATTTCTGTCGGCACACAAACAAAAGATAGAGCTTACTACACTGAAACATGTCAGCAGCTCTGAATTCAAATCACGTCGGTCAGCAGAGTCTAACATCACCCCCCTTCTTAAAATATCATACAGATCCGTTTATGCCTCCTTTAAAAATAGCAGAAGGAAAAGCCTGATGGCCTTTCTGTCTGGCCTACCCTGAATAAACTCAACATCTCTCTCCACCTGATGCCTTAAGCCCAGTGACCGCTTACAAATAAACACTCTAACCAGCTCAACCCAGCAGTGCAGAGGGAGGGACAGATTCAGGGTCTCTCAGGAGAGAAGGCTAACAGGCGGAGTGGTAGCACGCTGTTACCTGCTCTAATTAACACCTGTGCAACACCATGAAACTGTTGAGCCATAGTCTATGAGCTGTGACGGAACACACAGCGGACTTTATCTCAAGGGACATTTTCTTTTGACTGTGCTATACTCACTCAACACAACAGCATCAACATTGACAATGGTGCATCTTTACCAATTCCGTTTAGATTTTTGTCCTAATACTGATCTTGGAATTACTCAAATACCCCTGAAACATTATTATAAAATAACTTGATATGTGTGTTATGCTCAGAGTTGCAGTAAGATAATGTAAGGCGATTTATGGCTATTTGTGGGTTTGTACCTAAAACAAAAACGTCCATCCATTTTTATCTAGTAGGCTTTCACAATGGTCGTCACTTTTTTATTAGAGAAATGGAATTGATAGCGAGACAGGCTGATCAGCACTGTCACAAATATCAATGGACTACATTTCTTCTGCATCTAAACTAAAACTAAAACTTCACTTCGGCAAACTGCTCTTAAAGTATTAGGCTATTTTATTAGTTGCATGACAGAAATTGTATTGATAATCATTTGTTGTTGAACTAAAATATTTAAATAAAATAGTTTTTTGAGAATGGAGTGATTCAATCTCAACCTCTGGGACAAATAAGATAAATACTTTTTAAAGAAGCTCTTCAACTGTATCTCACAGCCTTCCAAACATTATCATTCTCACAAACCATGAATCATCAGTCATAATATATCTATCCAAATGATCGCAGTATGACTTTTATTTACCATATTGTGCAGCCCTGGTATGCAGATTGTATATTTACAAGTTGATAGTTGAAAGTGCACAATGAAGAATAAAACAAGGATCCATTTTCTCTGGAGGCTGGAGGCAGGGAATCTTACTTGGCAGGTTGGCTGTTCTAACACAGACAATCCCTCACATGCTGTACATATCAAAGAGAGATTCAGAAATCCCACCTGACCTGAATGTATTTGGAGATGTTAAAGAAAACCAATGTGAATAGGGGTAAAACATAGTCCTTTTGCTGTGTAAGGAACAAACGCTGAGCCAACAAGTCGCTCAAAGGAACATGATTTGCAGAGAATAGTTTTCTCAGGAACTATAAACCGTAATCAAATTTGACGACCCACGGGTACTGTACAGGGGGTGCTGAGCCAGATCGATGTCTGTGCTATAAAGCTGGCTTTATAGATGTTGATATACTGCAGAAATAAACTGTTACAGATCAGTCGATGACAGTGCTGGTTTGCCTTTTCAATTTGAATGAATTATCTTTATGAGAGCGGACCATGCCGTTTTGCTTTTTTGGAAGACAGATTTAATCATGCTGAAATAATGATTAGAGAATTATTTTTGTCTATTATCTGGAATATACACTGAGCAGATAATACTAATCTGTGTTTTACATCAGTTTTAGGATTAAAAATAGATGCAAAATGTATTCCAAACATTATTTAGGAAAAATTAATACTGATTTGACAATTAAGTGTTGAAGGGTGGTCCAAATCTGTTTAAAATTCATCACACTTGTTAGTTTTAGGCCACACATTAAAACACACATACCAGCAGAGTACGATGCACATCAAAACACCTGCAATCATTGTCTTCTGCATAAACCCACGTACCTGCAGTGACTTGATGTGTACAACTGCAGGTTGTGCATCAGGACGTTCTATGTTTCTGCACTGATGCATTTCTACTCTCCAGAACAACACATCCTGGCTACTGCTCCCTGACTACGGCTTCTGTTTGTATGGCTCATTTGGTGCGTGTGCTACGGGTTTAAGGCTGCTGTATGCTGCACTTAACACTGAACATACAGAGCAAAGAAATCTCTGATTGCTTGCTGAAAAAATAAACTCCTGATTAGAGTTGGGGGCCCCCGGTTAGCTCAGTGGGTAGCAGACTGGCCGACCCATGTACTTGAGGCCTGAGCTTGCTGCAGGGCCAGCCCAGGGTTTCGAGAATCGCGACCTGCGGCCGCTGTTGGCTGCGTGTCCATCCCTCTCTCCTCTGCCCTTTCCTGTCTGTCTCCAGCTGTCCTATCAAATAAAGGCCTAAAAAAAAAAGCCGAAAAAAATATACTTTAAATAGAGTTTAATCAATTAGTTGTCAACTATCAAATTAATTGCCAAATAGTTTGTCTTTTTTTTTTCAAAGTCAAAATTCTTTCATTTTAGTGTGAATATTTCCTGGTTTCTTTACTCCTCTATGACAGTAAACTGAATATCTTTGGGTTGTAGACAAAACAAGACATTTCAGGATGTCACCTTGGGCTTTGGGAAACATTGAATGACATTTTTCACAATTTTCTGGCATTTTATAGACCAAACATTAATGAGTAATCATCAGTTGCAACCCTATTCTAATCCCTGCACTCAAAGCATCTAAAGCTAGTGAACTGACGTTAAGCTACACAGACGTAATCAATTAACAACCAAGGTAGTCTTCTGAACGAGGCTGTAAGACCAGTCGTAGAAGGATGAAAGAGGAAACCTGTGACTAAAGCAGCATACCCTGTAAAGCAGGAACCCAGGAATAGTAAACAAATGAATGAGACGTGAACTGATGAGAGCAACACAATATACCTATAAAACCTGAGTTGCAAAACCAACAAAGGAGATGAGCGGGGCTCATAGTGAGAGGGCATAAGCAGGAGTGAGGAATACAAAAGTAAAGAAAACAAGATTAAAGAAAATGTGCAGTGAGGCAAAGCGAGGCGGTGGGATGAACAGAATTTGTTTTATCTTACTGCAGTGATCAGACACATTATGCGCTCAGTGGATGCTTTTATGTGAGGAGTTTGAAGTTGAAAGTTTGAAAGAAATCTCTCCAGGGAAGGACACCCTATCTTTCTTTTCTTTTTTTAAATTGGGATTTTTGCAGGGATATACAACACTTATATCAATGAGAAATACAAGGGCCTTGTATAATGTGCCATAGAGGAAGAAACACATGTATTTTTATGTTAGCATTGGGCACTGATCCTGCCAGACCCGGAAGCGTACAATACACGCACAGTAAGAAAACATCAACTTACCACTTAAAGAACACTAACGCTAATGAGGATGTTCAGTTGCACATTAATGTTGTACTCCTATCTACCCCTTTCTACATTGGGCACGATCTGTCAGGTGAGGTACGGAGACAACATGCAGAGTACAATAAAATAACTGAACATCTGAAAAAGCAAAAGCTAAGGGTTGGAATACGACATACTTCCCGACTCGTTGTTACCATCAGCGGAGAAAAGTTAACGCTGGATGTCGAATGATTTCATAAAGTGAGTTCCTGACAAAGGTTTCTGTAAGCTCTCCGTTCCTTAAGACTAAATAAGTCCCAATTCTATCTAATGAATTATATTGATATTGCTATTATATATTATGAATTATATTCGGAATTTCCCCATTGTGGGACAAATAAAGGAATATCTTATCTTATCTTATATGTGTTAAAGGTGGACGCTATAAGGATGTAATAGGAAGCCTGAATGTAAGATACTTTTATCAGAGGTCTCTCAGGCCCATTAGTATTTGGATGGTCTGTTTGTGGTTTTATTTTTGATGTAGTGATTCACCTTCCTATGCAATTAATCACCACCAATTAATTTTTAGAGTGGGTCAGTGGGAATTAGTCAAACTACGTCTCCGCTTAATGAACATGGATCGGAGATGAATCGGGTTTTCATCTCATTAGTTGTACATGTAAAGCTGAATAATTTGTGGGTTGTTAATTCTGTTTTGTTTTTGTCTTTTCGTTGTTTGTCATATTTTCCCCTCCAACCAAAAGAGAAAAAACTGTTCATGGGGGTTTTGTTAAGCGCATCTAATGTGTGCAAATATAATTAAAGTAATCACTTTAATATAAATGTAATCAATATTAAGATAAACAATGTAGGTCTTTAGCATCAGATAGACGTACGTTAGTCCAATCCTCCTCCTTGAATCCCAACATTCAGACTCAGTCCCAATGGGAACACGATTTAGGGGTTTCACTCTGCAGAATGTGGGATGGAAAAATGCTGAGGGACCCTGCAGTAATCTCTCTCCTTGTCCTGATGGCTTGCTAGAATACAGGGCTGCAAGGTTAAGGTAAAAATAAAGACAGGAAAATAGTAGGCCTAGACTTTTTGGGTGCCAAAAAAATGATTTTGCTCAATTGGAAAATCAGTAAGCTAAAAGTTTTTCCAGTAGAAACATGGTTATTTGAATTTCTCAGCCTTCTTGGTAAGGAATGAATAGCTGTGAGGATCAGAAATACTATATCCAATTTTGAAATGAATTGGGATCAGATTTTGAAATGTGCCTCAGCCTATAACTGCAATTAACACAGAATACTGCACAGCCCTGTGGAAACGTGTTCGGAAATCTTGGGTTTCCTAATTCAGATCGAGATTGTGCACACTATGATAAAACAGACAATTAATAGTGAGGGTCTGTACTGTGTTTTACTCTTGTCTAAGTTGTTGTTGTGGTATTTGTTGCTTTGGTGTGTGGCTTGTTCTTTGTATGCTTTGTATGTCTTGTATTGATGCTAAAAGCATGGAACAAAAGGACTGCTTAATGGCAATATGTGATTTAAACATTTGCCACATTAAGAGACAGTACCTTGATTCCCCGGGTATTTAACTTATTTAGTCAATAAAAAGCTTCTAAAGTGAATTTTAGAAAAATGTACTGCATCACAATATAAAGAAAGGTGACAAATGAAATGAAAAACCAACATCAAGTTCTCGTAAGCCTCGAGAATAGCTTCTCTGCTCCTTTTCTATGAATTAATTATTAACTAATTAATTAATTCCGCACCTCTAAGCTCTGCTGCAGGGATGAGCACCATTCATTTATAAGGTATTCACTCATTTAGTGTCAGTTGGGTTGAGGTGGTGACTGACAGCCATAGTATATATGATGCATTCAAATCATTCAGTGAACCTGTATGGAGACATCTGCTTGTGTTATGGTTCTCCACACATTTACTCAGGTTTTTCCCTTGTCACCTCTCTGTATATTACTGTGGACACCTACCGAGGCAGATAACAGCCTTGTGTGAATGACACAACCTGTGAGAGCCGTCAGGTGTGAATTTGTCAAACACAAGTTGAACACAAACTCATTATCTTCCATCACAGCCAGGGTTTAAAAAAAACAAAAACAGTGCATGCTGCACTACAGCACCACTCACCCTCCAGCAGGACTGTCTCCGGTGTTTGCCGTTGTTGTAAGTGTGACTGTGCGGATCACTGAGTGTCAGAGAGATGAAGTCCTTTCTGGAAGGTGGATACATCCTCTGATCGGGGCAGACACTCGTAGGTCATAGAAGCTGCAATCAGTAAAAACAATTAACTGATGCTATCTTTATGATCAATGAATCATATTTGATACTCGTGTAGTAAAAATAAATATACCACTCACTGAAAGGTTTGTGCTACTATTGTCTACCACACCATTGTTCACCAGCATTTAACCGTCAGAGATTTACAGGTGTACGTTTTTAAAAAGGAGTGTACCGATTTTATTAAACCTGTCACAAGGAGTAAATGGATGAAGACGGACAAAATTGTTGATTCGCACCAAACCAGCCAACACACGGGTTGTATGCTTTGACTGATCTGCATATGCCCAGCAACGATATACAGCACACAGCTAACAGAGTGATAACTGCATGTGTGTGTGAGTTATTACCTTCACCTAGCTGACATGTGGTTTACTGTAAACTTGTACACTAGCACTGTTTCTTCTTTGATTTCTTCAGCTGCTGCAAATTTAATTTAGGATGTTAAGAATGGTCACCGTTTGATTTGAGGTTATATTTGAGAGGTAAAAGCACCATTTGACACTGGCTGAAGCTGCACTGATCGTCAGCTTAACTGCTTTCACTTAGTTCAACATAGTACCATGTGTCATATAAAATATAGCACGGCTGAAGCTGATGGCTTCTATAATGTATGGATAAATGTAACTACTTCTGTCATTTACTTCATTTATTGTTTACAAATGATGCATTTTTAGCATTGATATAGTATGGCTTGCTGGTGGGATCCTTTAAATCGTACTCGTCGTCCTCCTCTTCAGTACCATGGACAGCTGACGGATGTGTTACGTGTACATACACTTGCTCTTGGGACGTTTTGGGGAAACGGGTGTTGTTGCGAAAGCTTTATCACAGATTTCTAAGTTAGTAAAAAGAGCTTCAAAGCAAAGCTGAATGGAATATAATTCTGACTCTACACTAGCATAGGCTGTTAGTTAGTCTCGCAGATTACTTGATAAAAGTCTTTTTAGTATAGCCAGTTGACACCAGAATTATTTTAAACCGAGAAAACCGAGCCGAGTTAAGTTACTGTACACAAAACAAGCTACATTAGTCAATTAGCTAACGTTAGAGCAACGAGCTATGTAAGCTACTGTAAGTTATGTAAGGCACTTCATCAAAACACACACACACACACACACACACCAGAAAATCCGTAAAGAAATGTGTCACATATCGAGCTGCCTGCCCCTCACCTCACCTCAGTGCCTGCTGGCTGCCTCCCCCTCACCTCACCTCAGTCGCAGCTGGCTCGTATCACTCACCGCGCATTCACTGTGCTGCTCGCTGTTCACCTCACCACAACTCCGACAAGAACAAATAGACTGCATCGCCGGCGACGGATTTACGCCGAAAAAATGGCTACAACAGGTATAATATACACAATAAAAACACACAAAAGAAAGGCGAGCCGAGCGCGGCGCGCGTGTTATCTAGACGCCCAAATCAAAACACAGACGCAAACACAACAACAGAGAGGAAGATCACGCACTACATCACAACACCACACAAACACACAACACACACGAACAAAACACAAGGATAATAACAAGAACACAGACAAGGAAGACATAAACACAACATGAGAAGACAAACAAACGAGAATAGCAATGCAGCGGAGTCTATGACGAAAATACAGCGTGGCTGCGGACAGATAAAACAAAAACCTTAACTTCCCGTCAACACGTTTTAAATGACTTTATCCTTTTTTTTTTTGGTAGTTTTAATTTCACTCCAGTTGTTTTGTGAGTATTCATTTAGAATTGTAAACTACTGTATAACTTATCAAATGATATGTATTACTTAACGCACACTACGCAAGCTGCGTAGGACCCCGCGTCGCCCTCACGTCAGAGTGGGTGTCTGTTTACAACTCAGATGAGAGGATGAACAGAACTATCCATCAGAAAAAGAGAAAAAACACCATGAGAGTGAATTGTGGGAACAGGAATCAGGTAGACTTGTGTTCTCTTTAAGTCTGATGTCAGTAAATAACAATAACGTTAAGCTAATGCGCAATAGTATTTTATTTTTGAAAGTGTATAAAGGGAAATGTCAGTGAGGACTGGACTAATTGCCAGGCAGCAATACCAAATCTCAGTTTGTAGTTTTTATTATTTTCAGCAATTATATTTTCTACATTGTTAATATTCACATAATATTCTATTAAATAAATATTGTTTGT